TTGACGTTATAAAAAATTAGTAATTTCGCCAAATCAGCAAAAATTACGGCATTGAGTGGCAAAGAAAATCCCAAAACAAGGTTACCAGCGCCTGACGGCATTGCAAGCCCTGTGCCGGCCTCAAAAGGGGAGCCCTAGCATCTCCATTGGCATCCTGAGCCACCCATTCAAATGTGTTGCACACAGGCCCACACTATGCCCAATGGTTGTGGCTTGCCATGGTGCAGCCCCACTGTCCATGCCCGCCTGCACTAGAGATCGCCTGGCGGGGGCGATCCTCGCCAGCTCCCCATATGGCCCAGCCCACCCACTCCTCGTTTGGGAATGCCCAGCAACTTGTGAATTGCAAAACGCCGAGTGTGCCACTGCACCCGCCGTTGCAATCCGCGCTGCCCTCAACCATTAATGGTGGAATATTCCTAGCCCACCCGCATGCCCAGCATCCCCACGCACCTTCCTAGGAATATTCCTAACCCACCCGCATGCCCAGTATCCCCACGCACCTCCTGGCCCGCCATGCACGCATGTTGCGTGCATTGGGGCGGACGTCCCGGAGTCCGGTCCTCCTAGAAACGAGGCAACAAAATGGCAAAAGCCAATGCACAATAGCCGAGGCCGAAAATCGAACAACTACAACTTAATTCGTATCTCACCCAGCAGTCCTCGCCACTGTGTTCGTAAAGCGAACACTCCAGCCCTTGGGCCAGCACCAAGAGCGGGGGTCCTTCCAACAGAGCAGAAAGGGTGGGGTTTTCTGTCAACGTTGTTGTGCCTTTTAGAAACACGCATCATGTCAACGTTGCTGGCAACCCGCACTTCCAGAGACATTGATAACAATTGATCGTCTGCATGTTGACGCAACTCGGATGTGGGAGGTCTCACAGCAACGCTGATGGCAGCCTCGCCGTTGTTGTAACATTGCCAGGGAGGTGTTCCAGTAGCGTTGACGAATGAGAGCATTGCTGGCACGCTGCTGCATAGGCCCCGCATCAATGCTGAATACGATTGATGCAAGGTCACATTACTATCAAGGCCCATCAATGTTGCCGTAACACCATCCCAATTTCTTGATGACCGTACACATGTGTGATTGATTATCAATGCATAATGTAGTGGCACTGACCAATTATCCACCAAGTTATGCCCTGCAGTTTCGCCCGCAGGGAAATTCGCATGAAATACAAGGACAAGAGAACGACGTCAATGCGAACGCACAGCTAACGGCGAGGGCTTGCTGGTGCGCAGATTGGAAGGTGTCCGCCCACTGGCCAAAATTTCGGCCATGAACATGCCAATGGCGGATATACTCCACCAGGCTTGTTCATTTACGTTAACTTTACGTTTTTGCGTTTAACTTTTATGCGCAAAAACATAAATTTTAGGGAGGTTTATTTTTGCGGTTGTTTTTGCGTTTTCAACACTCGTTGAAACACTCATGTTACACCATGAAAGTCACGCACAATGATCAATTTCCCGCCTCCTTGAGCAGCCGCAACACAACGTCCATCTCGGCCTTTGCAAGGGCAACAGCGTAAAACAAAAGAGCGTTTTCTGCACATTCCAGCGCGTCTGGCTGCCACTCCCAGTATTCCCTAAGTCTGCGCGTACTGACTTTATGTGCACGTGGCTGTACTACGTTGCATTTACGTAGTTTACTTAGAAGTAAATAGAACTATTTACACTTAAGGACGTAAAAGCTATTTTCACGCGCCAAAACGTAAATACGATCAGTTTTAACAGTGCAAATAACAAGCCTGCCCACAGAAGCAACGTTTTATTTCCTGAAAATTCCGCGAATCGCAAACTGCTATGGACGATGCCAGCTGCGATGCCATTTCGCACTAATCGATGCCATCGCAGCCGCTTGAAAGTTATAAAATTTTATGCTGCCGTTATCACTGTGATGGACCCACTTAGTGTCAAAACGATGTTGCAATTGGCATTGAGAGTATAGTGTTCTATGCTGGTGACCATCATTGTAGACAGTCACAACATTCAATCATTGTTCTCCTGTTCCACACCACAGGGCTTTCGCATGTACTCACTGCAGTACATGCCCGCTCTGACACGCTGTATCCACAACGCTTCTTATGCTATCGCTGACAGAATTGCTCGCGCTGTGTACATAATATTCTCAATACCGCTCAGGTTATTGCCGCGGCACTTTGCAATGCTTCATTGCGTCAGCATTTTACGAAGAAACGTTTCCCAAAGAGACTGTGCTGCTGCCGCAGCCCGGCCCCGTTTCAGAACGCTTTTCATCAACCCGCCAGTATTGGAGCGAGGATAGGAGGTGCGAGAGATAGGCCATTTCTGCTTGTGGCATGCAGGGACATCGATGTTCAAGATCCAATTTCCGTGTTGTGGTGTGGATCCATCCACAAAAGCAAGGGGCAACAAGTGCCATGCGCGCCACTGAATGCACTGGTGTAATTGGGGCCCAAACGTCGGTGGAATTGCAAGTACGTGGTTTTCAACAACTTGACAGCTAAATCTGGCATGAAATGGCCTATTTTACATTTTGCAATTGATTTGCGCTTTTGATGTTACAATTTGGCAATTGTTGAAACTGCCAAGTGGCGTATGTATGGCAAGAGCTCTCTTTGGCACTGCCGCCTCCCTGCTCAACCGGTCTGGTGCCAATCACAAGTGCCTCACTCTCAAATGAAGATAAGCGAGCCTTTTTAGCTGCAGTGCTGTCACTGGAGCCACGAGCGAAGATGTTCGCGCGTTACATCCCTGCATGTGAATGCTGGATACCTGTGCACTCATGTCCCCCTCGGGGGCAATGCATTCACATTCATTCATCACACCACAAGCAGGCCTTGGGCTTGGCGTCTGCTTCAATCGCCGTTTCTGTAACCTGCACGTGAGCGCATCCGGACATCGCCTTGCAGGTGCAAGAGCTGCTCTTTTCCACCATTGTTCAAATGCGCCGATTTGGTGCGCACCGCGGGCAGCCCCAGAGCGCCAGCACCCAACAGTCCAGCAGATATTTTCCCCAGGTACTAGGCGGCGCGGCCAGTTCGAAGCGGAAGACACTGCCCCTTTGTCCCAGCCGCCCAGTTTCAGACGGCGTTTTAGACACCAGTTGGATGCAGCCTTTGATATGGCGGTGACTGGTTCATGATTGACTGATGGTTGTGTGGCCCCAAGGGGGCGTGCCTGTCCTCGGTGTCTTCGTGGGAGACGGGCATGGCCACAAGCTTGGTGACACAGCCGAGGGAACACAGTCCCGGGACTGAGGGCCCACCCCAGGCTTGGAGTTTCAACCTCACCATGAGAGCTGCAGTACTGTGGCCCAGACGTCGGTTCGCGTATTGTCGGCGCCTGCTGACAGGTCCCATCGGCAGGCTCGCTGGGCGAGTGTGATTGGCGCGCGCGTTGCCGTGTACGAAGTTTGTGACCGGCAGGAGTACGATGGGCACGTGACTTTTATGGCCGCCTGCGGTACATTCACGACGCACGGGGCCATTCTCCGCACGGTGTTGCGCAATGTACTGCCAAACCCTCAACCGGCAAGGTACGGCGCAAGGTACGGTGCGTGGCCGTCTCATCACGCGCCGGGAAACGCCCGGCGGCCCGCCCTTTTGCCGACGAAAAGGACGTCCTTCTTGAAAGGTGTTGGGAAGTACTAGGACAAGTACTGGAAAGTAATGGGAAAAGTGACGGGAAGTACTGGGACAAGTACTGGAAAGCAATGAGAAAATTGACGGGAAAGTACTAGAAAATGTACTGGAAAATAATGGAGAAAACGGCGGGATGTTACTGGAAAAAGCACCAGAAAATATGGGAGAAGTGACGGCAAAGTACTGGGAAAGTATTGGAAAGTACCGGAAAAGAACCGGGAAGGCGTCGGTTGCGTCATCCCGTCGCGTCAGCGCCGTCCTTTATCAAGTCCCGACGTCACTGCCTCACCCTCACCCGATCCCGCTAATCACCCAGATCCCCCGCGCCCCCCCTGACAGCCCCTCCTCCCAATTGGGCCTCTCACATCGGAGCCACGCCAAGCCCCGAGGAGGGGTCCCCGGGAGCCACTGCCAGGGCCGGGCGCCTACGGCTGGCCGCGCCAAAAGGCGCCTTTCCGCTCGCGGCGCCGCTTGGCAGAGAATCGGCATCCTTCCATCCCCTCCCAGCCCCACAACTTGGATTTTTGGGGGGCGGTGGCGGTTGTAGTTTTGTGGAGGAGGAGAGGGGAGGGGGTGAAATCTGACACCAAAGAGAGGAGCCTGGATGGCGAGGGAGGACGTGGAGGGAATGGAAGGAGGAGGCCTGGAGGCGGAGGAGGGCGATGGGAAGGCGGCTTTGGGGGGCCCCGGATCGCCGCAGTCGCAGTACGAGCCTGCCAGGGAAGGGGAGGGGGAGGGTGGGGGTTTCTGGGTTGATTTGCGTCTCCAAATCTGCGGGGAAGGTAGTACATCGGGGTGCGTTCTCAGGCGGGGGCGATTGTTCAGTGCGTGGGAATCGCTGGGGCCCTTTTTGTGGGGAAGGTGGGGAAGGGAAGGTGCTTGCGGCGTTTGGCCGAAGCGTGTGTATGTGTGTGTGTGTGTACGTGGGAAGGGTGTGCGTGCGTGCGTGTGTGTGTGTGTGGGTGGGTGGGGTGGGGTGGGGGGGCGCTGTGTTCGCTCGCCAAGCCCCAGGATGCGACCGCGTAGTCAGCGCGATGACGACGGGGGGTGGACGTCCCATAGGGTTTTCTCGCTCGGCCGCTCTTCGGCGGGGATGCCGATTCAGAGGGCGGTCGGCCTCGGCGGGGCGGCGGGCGGGACCGGCCGCCCGCCGGACGTTCCTGCGCTCGCATGATTCGCGAGAGGGGTTCGAATGGGGCTTGGGTGTGGGATCCTTTCGCCTGGGCTGGGGAGTGTTGATGTTCCCCGTGGCGCTGTTGTTTTGGGGGTGGGTGGGTGGGGTTGTTAGAGGATGCACTAACGGGGCATGATCCCGCTTTTCCTTCAGCTTTGTATCTGCCTTGTTTTGTCTCGGGGCTACGCTGAACGGCGATGCAGAATTTCCGTTGTCAAGGAGGGGGGTGGGGGCGGGGTCCGGCGGACCCTGCCCAATCGGCGCCAGGCCGCGCAAGCGGCGCCGAAGCGCTTCCCGTGGCCGGCGGGGCTGATCGGCCTTGGGGTTGTGTGGTGGGCAGGTTGCCTTGCATGGGGAAATTGAGGGAAGAATTGACGTGCTCCATCTGCTTGGACATATGCACGCGGCCGGTCACGACGCCCTGCGGTGAGCGTGCACGTGAAATTATGGTCGGGGTCCATTGGCTCGCCGTGTGGCTTGTGCAGACGCTTCCTGTCTGTCTAGCTGGTTTTGATCCCCAACCTGTGAGCCTAACTGCTGGCATTGTTGAGCGAGTTTGCTCAGGGAATGATTTTCAAGCTCCCAAGGGTCACCATGCGGCTTTTGCAGACTTCCATTGGCTGTCTTGTGTTTGGTTGATCCTGGACCTCTGACCAACCAGCTCAAATGGCTGCATTTAAAACGCTGAAAACCTGGCCGAGGACCGCATTTGATGCTGGTGTTTGGGGTTCAGAGGTGGGACGACTTGGGCAGGGAGTGTGTGGTCGCTGCTCGCTGCCAGGCAGAGCACAATGCATGCGCATGTGGTGTGAGAACTGCTTTGAGATAATGCTTTGCGTATGGTTGCCAGGACACAATTTTTGCCGCCGTTGCCTGCGAGGCGCGCTGCAATACAGCATGAAGTGTCCCAAATGCAGGGAGGCACTGCCAACCGGTAAGACTGTGCTTGCTAGTCCACAAACTTGGAGGTTTACAAGATTGCAGGAAGTTGCAACACTGTGAAATTGACACCCGTCTGTCACTCCGGAGGTGCATTTCCGCTTGTGCGTCTCTGCTGCCTATTTGCACTCCTTAGTGTTGTGTGATGCTCCTGTTGAGCTCGGTGATTGGTGCATCAATTTCAGCACCATGGAAACAGTCGTGCAACAGTTCTTGCTCACATTGGGTTGGGCATCGTGTGATAAACGGCACTTTCTCCGGGAGAGACAATCAATCCTCAGGAGTTCTTGCTGTTTGATAGCCAGGTGATAATCCATTGGCTAAGTGATCACGCTCTTAATGTGCAGTGGTTCAATCTGAGCAAGTGGTGCATGGTGGCGGAAGTGTGACAACGGTCCTTATGCCTGAGAGACACTACGATGTGACTGGCTTCATATTGACACTACATGTTTTCTTGGAGCAACTGTAACTCTTTAATATTTTGTGGTTGGGGTGCACTAACAAGAACAAAGGTGACGGTTTGCAGCAGCAACACTGCAGCAAAATGACTGCAGAAGTTGTTGGATGCTGGTGTGCACAGGAAGCGGAAAGCATGTGAACACTGTCCTGTGGAACACAATACAGCTGCTGTTCCCCCAAATGGAAGATGCACCTCCCTCACCAGCAACCTGTCGTGGTTCATTGGATGGGAACCCCCGTGACTCTACCTCAGCGGACCGCATTGTCCAGCAAGCTGAGGAGGCTCTGCTCAATCTCTTCCACACAGTGAGGTGGGCATGCACTCTTCTGCCATCTTTTGCTGAATGTTCTGGGTGTGATGATGGGTTTTGAAGGATGCTTGGAAGTTTGGGGCAAGGTTTCGTTGTGTCAACGTCTGATTGCTGGCTATTGTGATGAAGACACTCTGCTGTGTGCATTGGGTGCACTCGGGGAGGATAGAAGCACTTTCCCTATGGAACGTAAGATCATATTGTACTGTGGCAGTGACTTGTTGCACATAGCAGTGATGCTGCACAATGAGGCCTTGTGGCAGTGGGAGATTACTGGAAGCCTCTATGTTGGGCGGCTCTATTCAAAATGGATGCATCACTTGTGTACCCACCCATCACAGGATGAACAAGGTGTCGATGTCATGTGGCACTGGTGAATAGTAATGGCAAGATAGCAAAAGTTTCTAACAGTCTGTGACACAGCTTGAGCTTCTGAAAGACTGCAGGAAACTTGCATGGTGGTCCTGGACACCAAGACACAAAGACACACATTATCAAGGCTGATTTCCTAAGACAGCATGTGTCGAAAATAGGCAAAACACAGCTCTTGCACCCTGTAGTTTACGCACAAGTGAATGTGACATATCAGAGTGCATCAGGAGCCCTACACCAGGAGGGAAGAAAGAGCACTCTATCCAATGTGTCTATCAGGGGGAATCGTTTTCGTGGTGAGACAGGTGATCGTTGCCACTGACAGAATACGGCGCTCTGTGCATCCACCTTAGGAGACCCCAGGCTGGCACTGCCCAACCCACTCAGGGACTTGACGAATTCTTGTCTCGTCTGGAGCTCAGCGACCCGCAAGACCAGTTGCAGGTGGTGTCACCACACTCTGTTTCAGGTGCGTGGCGAGAGACAATCAATGGAATTGCATTTGCGAAAATATGTCTTCCCTTGCACCTGCAATGGCATGATCGGCATATTCACCTTGACATGGTTGGCTTGTGGAGTTCGGAGGTGGGATTGGACACTTGCTGTGTTTGGGCTGCCTGAGATAACAGTGAGTTGGAGCAGTTGCAGTGTTGTCTGCATATGGACGTGCGACTGGTCCTATTGGACCTACTCTTACTTGTGGAGAGAAGATGGCAAATGCAGATCCTTGACAGTGCAATTGGACGATGTTGGTCCTACGTGGCTTGAAACAGAGGATTGTAGTTGGCCAACATCACAGGACAAAACCAAGTCCTTACATGCTGGAAGGTGGTGATGGGTGTAGAATGGCATCCAACAAGCCTGTTCCTTGTAAACCCAGCAGCATGCCAGGAATGTGTGTCTTGTTTGCAAGCCGTATTTCAATTGTGGAAGTTTGTCCCCCTAATTGAGACGTGCAGAATGCTGGGGTCATCTTCCAGAGAGCACCCCCTTTGGCGGCTGTTGTGAATACACTCTGTTTGCTGGAGCAAATCGCAGAAAGGAACAAGCCGTGTCCTTTGCCACAAAACCTTAGCTCAAAATTCTGTTGTGATGCGTAATCAATTTATAGACAAGAGTTCATACTCCTGCCGATAACACTTTGTGTAATCTTCGCTACAAAATTGATTGAATGTGTAACAAGAGCTAAAATGTGACGTATTACCCTGGAACAAATAACCTGTCGGCTGGGCGCAGGGAGGCGCATGAATCCCACTTTGGGGGAGGGTGGAATTGCGGATGACTGGGGGCCCCCTCGCACCCGCTCATCCCTCTCGCCCCAGCCAGATCAGCGCCGACGCTCCGTGGCCTCGCAGATCCTCCCTGTCAGGGGGGACGCCATGCAGATGCTGAGGAACACAGTCACCCGCCTGGAGTCCTCATTTCCAAGGCAGCCACGCTCGCGCACGGTGTCACCGGCCTTGGGCGATGGCAGGGGCGTGGGGGGTGTTGCGGAACGCCTCCCTTTCGGCGACTTGTCGCCAGAGGCGTTCCGTGTCACGCCCGTGGAGGTCACCTGGGCGCCCCACAGCTCGAGGCCATCCAGCGAGGGCCAAGAGCAGGGGTCCCAGGCAGATGGTTCTATTGAGAGGGCCTGGCAGCGGAGGCGGGAGAGGGTGGGCGACAGGAGGGCAGCCACTGGGATGGTGAACATGGCGCTTTCGGACGCAGATGCCGAGGTGCTCACCAGGCATGAGGCCTCCCCCCAGAGGATGCCCGTCGGTCTGTATCATTCGGATGTTGCTGATGAGGCTCCCGAGGCCCCGCATCTTCAGAGGATCGAGATTGCAGAAACAGCGCCCTCGCTGGACCACAGCCTGGAGCAGTTCCTCGAGCTGAGGAGGGGGATGGGGATTCAGGCCGGGGCAGGCTTGGCTGATGGGGAGCGCTCCGATGATGAGTACGTCTTTGGGCCTGATGGCCCGCCAGCACAGGTGTACCCCTACTCAGATCAGCTGGGGAGTGGCGCTTTTGTGTCAACGTCCTCTGCGCCCCTGGACTCTGCCAGCTCTGCTGGTGCAATGGAAGACGAATGGCTGGAGCTCAGGCGCTCAGATGTTGAAGCTTACCACAACCTACAGAACACAAGCCCCTCGGGGAGCCCTGTGGGATCTGATCCATTCCCTGGCGCTGTCAGCAATGGCATGGGCCATGGAGTGGCCGTTGATGAGGGCGCCCAGCTGCGAGGGCCGAGTTTTGGCCTGACGAGGCTGGCGCCAGAGCTGGGGATGCACCTGAACAATGGCCGCAGGAGCGCAAACTACGGGGTGACCCTGGTTCCTCTGAGCCCTTCAATGGCCGCGTCTGACGCCAATCGGGATTTCAATGAGCATGGCAGTTCCGTGGAGCTGGATGATGGCCAGAGCAGCGATGGGGACATCGACAGCTCATCGTCGGACAGCAGTGACGATGGCTACGATGTTGGGGAGAATGGGGTGTACGAGGAGTTTGTGGTGGGGGATGTGTTTCAGGGGCACAGGTTTTCAAGGGGCCGGGCCCTGAGCCCCTTGGGCGATTACAGCAACTTCCATGGGGACAGCGACGAGGAGATTGCCGACGAGGAGTGGCAGGATTCCGACGAGGGTGAAGGGGTCGAGTCTGACCTGTGCCTGGACTTCGAGACGTCGCCCGTGTCGGCCGGCGGGTACTACACCTCAGGGGAGTTCCCAACAGACCCCTATGCGAACAACAGCAGCTCGGCGGAGTTTGCGTCATTGGATGGGCCAGCGCAGCTTGCTGAGGAAGTGGTCGAGGATTCCCCACGGAGCACCCCTCTCCCCAGCAACCTGTGCAGAATCGCAGTCAGCCTACCCCAGGTGGACACCACTGCTTCAGCTGCCTTCCCCTACAATTCCAGCCCCAGGGGCCCTGGCACCGATCCCACCGTTTCCATGCCAGGCATGTCCACAGAGTTGCATGTTGTTGTGTCGGACTTGGAGCAGATGGCCTCAGACACCTGGGAAGCGAGGGCAGGGATGGGACAGATGGGGGTACCGGTTGCCGAGCAGCGGCTGCCCCCCTTGCGCCCCCCCGCCAGCCGCGCTGACGACAATGGGGAACTGGAGGCGTCCAGCACCAACAGGAGCTGCAGGGCGGAGGGCGGCTGGGGGTCGTCGATGGAGAGGAGGGGGCTCAGGCCGGGGCACCGTCATGTCCGCGGCGTGGCGAGCAGCAGGGGGAGGCAACATGCGCATGGAACTCAAGTTGGGGGGTACATAGGGATGCGGTACCTGCTCGAGGACCCTGCACACGAGCTGGAGCAGGATGGGTTGGCAGAGAACGCCCACATGGGCTGTGTGGCGCGCTGGCGCCGCTGCAACAGCATGCCCAGGCAGGACGTGGGGGCTGCCAGCCACCCGCTATGCTGCTTCCATGAGGGGGCCGATCGCAGGGAGGCCCAGGTCGTGGCAGAGTCATCGTCCTCCTGCCCTGACAGGCCCAGTGCCTCAGGGAGGCGCAGCGTGCAAGAGTTGCACGGCAGCAGTGGGCGGGGACGCTGTGTGAGGAATCGTCGGTTTGAGCCTGTGGGTGACCTAGAAGGGAGTTTTGGGGGGGATGGCTACGAGGGGGACCCATCAGAGGGGGAGATGGTGCACCCATCGGGTTCCGGCATGGAGTCCGGCGTGGTGCACTCTGACAATGAGCTGGAGAGCCTGTCCGCCAGTGGCCGGCAATCGCCGCTGTTCGTTGGGGGAATGAGGGTCATGAGGCTGCCCAACCGGATAAACCAGTTCATGTCGCGCCTGAGGAGGTACCCCAAGTAGCCTGCCCCCGGGCTAGCGCGTGAGGGCGTTGTGTATATAGGTAGGGCGGAATAAGTAGGCGGCATCAGGAGCAGCCTCTGCTGGACTGGGGAGCCAGGCGTTCGTGGGTGGGGTAGTCACGGCAAACGTGAGTGTGTTGTGATTGTGCTGGTGTGCTGGTGTGTGCAGTTCAGATGTGTAGGGTAAATAGCAGTTGGTGAACGAGTCGTCCTTGGCGGCCGCCTGTGTGGCGATTGTACAGGACAGGGAAATCTTGGATTCAGGTGGACTGGACGGCTGGCGCCATTTTGCGCGTCCGTTGGATTGGGCGGGACCAAACCTGAAGAAACGAACCGCGTTGTGGGGAGTGAGAACACCGACTTGACGGCGAGAGGAACACAAGGCTGATGGGTGTGGTTGTTCGGATCCAAAACCGAATTTCTGGGTATTTCTGGGCGCTTCTGGATACTTCTGGATACTGCTGGAAACTTCTGGATAAGTTTGTCCGGTTCGGCCAGATTTTATGTCCCGATTCTTTCTTCCTGCGATGAGCACCTCCGGAGGGGCTGCCCGGGGGCAAGCGGCTTTGCAAATTCATCGCGCTGGACAGGGCCAATCAACCCCGCTGCCCGCTCATACGCACCGGCGTCCCACCCGCCGTGTGGGCGCGTGCCCCCTGCAGCGCGTTCTCTAGTCATGGGCTCTACCACAGGCTTTGTGTGCACGCACGCTGTGCGCTGGGCTCTCTTGACGAGATAGTGACAATTTGTGGGGAGGTGCGGTGCTGACCAACGGCATTTTGTCTCATAAACCCTCTCAGCTGGTGCTCCCTGACGTCAGCAGCTTGGGTGTGAATAAGGAAACGGGGCCCACGTGTTGCGGCCGGCCCGGCGAGCACGAGCTCGAGTACACCTTGGCCCGTCCTGTGCCTGTCGCGCTTTGCGCGGTCCTTGTTTGTCGCCAGTGTGGCGCAGGGACGCCCTACTCAGCACTTGAAACAAGAACAACTAGACGTGGACGGCGCCTGGCATCTCCAAACGGGCGCAGGGGCAGTGATTTGTTATAATTTGAAAGTGTAATCAATGCAGATCGTCGCTCAGTTCTCACGGTGGCAGCACTGCTGGGGGAGGGGCGCGGGCAGATGTGTGCATAGCATTGCGCCGCCTCTGTTGGCGGCTGTGTGCCCCGATGGCGTGATCTTAGAAATGCGACGTGCACGTTCACTCCAATGCACGGCCCGCTTGGCCCGGCGCTGTTTCCGTTCCTTCCCCAGAGCGACTGGCGCTGGGCGCTTGTGCTTGTGGGTGGCACTTTGGCGCACTGTGCTCGTTCTTTTGTGTCGGTGGTGTTTTTCTTTGTTCGTTTTTTCCTCACCGTGGTACATTCAACACTTCCGCACAGTAGCTAACACTTGGCCTTTTCTTGCGGGGAAAACAATGACTAATAACGCTCTTTGAGCAAAGGTTTTGCGGAGCAACATAAAAGAAACAAAACAACGCTCTGAGAAACAGTGCGCAGCAAAAGCATAACGGTAAAGTTGCTTGACGCGGAAGGGTGGAATATACTACAGTACGTGAATGCATCGACATTTTGTCACGGCATCGATCAATGAGGTACATGAGCCCGTGCGCGAGGGGCACGTCCAGGCCCACCTATGCCACCGAACATGCGCCTCCGATGGCTGTCACAGCTTCCACAGAACTGTGGTGTCCTGGGGTCCTGGGGCTGTGGCAAAAATGCGTTTGGCCAACGCAGGACAGTGTGCTTGCAGCTGGCTCGAGATGCAGCGGTGTGTTGTGGCGAACGGCATCGGCAACTGGTGTCCCAGGGTAGCGATGTTTCAATTCTATTGCCCTGCATCACATGGCAGGCGCAGTTGCACTGCGCACGATGGGCTGCAATGCATTGAAGCGCAAAGTTTGGCAATGCTGGCGGCCTCGCTGTAGAACCTGTGCAGAATGCGGAGGAATGTGGGAATTCCGCTGCAGCACCACAAGGCAAACGCACGAAAATGTTGCATTCCACGAACGCCTGACTTTGCGCAGCACACAACGACATTTTGCTGTACATCGGTCCGTGCTGGGGGTAAAGCAGAAACGGACAACTCAGCACAGGCATTTTTCTGCTCCACATTTTGCTCAGTGTCACCGCAGTTGGCATCGCCATCATCGCTGCCATCAGCGTCCCTTTGCGCACAGGCTCCCTGGGCCTCTGATCAGATTCGTGAATACAGGTTTTCCAGCAGTAGGACCAGAATGGGAGCACCTGCGCTTCCGCCGAAACCCAACTGGCTTCCAAAGGGGCGCAACTTTTGTGAGCGACACCGCAAACACTCCAATTGCGTTCGCAACGGCCTGCGGACAAACCTGCGACATGAATCTTCACAGCCATGCCTTAGACATCACTGAACGAATCGTGCACACTGGTTTGCTCGAGCAAACTAGTAAGCTGACTGATACCCTAAATCCACAGGTGCCTGATTTCAACATTGCCCTGTTGGCGACGATGTACCAAGAGATGCGTGTCCGCGGGCGCCACTGGCCCAGGTTTCAGGCAGCGTTGCAGCCCTTCCGCTGAAATCGTCGCCTGTCGGCATCTTGGGCAAACTACATCCCGCGACGGAAACATTGACAAGGAAAGTATCACCCAAATAATTGCAAACGTGGCAGGGCCACACTAGCAAAAAGCAACGCAGGTCAAGCTAATGACAGAAAGGCGTCACAAACTATCAGCAAAGAAAGCAGCTCAGACTAGCAGGAGGCAAGGCAGCGCAAACAAGCAACATCTCAGGCAGCAGCAGCAACAAACACTAAGAAAAAAAGGGCCAAATAACACGTGTTCAACCTTATACAAAGTTTAAGGGTTTGGGTCATTTTCGTGTTCTCAGCATGCAGAACATTTACGAAATGCATATATGCGTGTTCGCAAAAAGTGTCATTTGGTCCTTTTTTTGCTAGTGGAAAACAAGGGGGCCTTGTTTGTGTGGCCGCCAAACAAAGATGTAACAGACAGTGTGGCACGCTCCCAGCAACATATTTAGAATGGAAAGCGCACAAAGAATAGAAAGAAAATGAAAGAGTATAGGAAGAAGTAGGAAGGAGTACGGAATAACGAATAAACTAATGCAAGAGCATCCTTGCTCGCAACGTGAAAATTTCGACACGTTGTCAAGTCACGTGTCTCTGCTGAGTTCAAGTATTCAAACAGCGTCCCCTTGCTAGCCATCCACACTTAACCTCACAAAGATAAATGACGAACGTATAGAAAGAACCAACAAGAATGCAGAAAGAATTAGAAAGAATGTAGAAACAAGAGACCGACAGGACAGAACAGGGTTTGCGTCCGCGCATCTCGAGCAGAATTCAGGCCCATGGCGACCCCCACAGCCGCACGCCCGGCCGCCCCCCAGGCGCACGTCTCCTTCAGAGCCCTCCTCCTCTTCTCGCTCCTGCTGCCCGTCCTGCCGCTGCTCGCATTCTACGCCGTCTACTTTGGCCACGCAGACCGTGCGTGCCCCACCTCCACCCCCGTTTGCTCGCCCTTCTGTGCTGCTGCGCTGTGTGCGCATCATTTCGCAGGCTCTGTGTCATATTTTCACAGCAGGGAAAGAGTCTCGCATACACCTGCTTGGGGCCTTGTGAAGTGTTTCTTGTAACAAAGCCTCCCACCCGCCCATCCACCCACTTTTGTGACCTGTGTCTCTTTTCTCTGTAACAAAATGTTGCCCCCCAATATCCACACACCCTTTTGGTTGCTCGCTCCCCGGCCCTTGGGGCCCCTGTGCCAACAGCCCGCGGGCCCGCGTTACGCTCGCACAGGTTATGTTGCCCTGATGCTGGACGTGGAAACGCTGTCGGCGTCGGGGAGGGGGCTGCTGAGCGGCGTGGTGGCTGTGGGGATCGTCAACGCGGTGAGGAGCTCAAGGATGAAAACAGTGGCATTTGGTTGGCGTTGTTAATTCGCATGTTGTTGGCAGGCAACAATGGTGAATGTGGTAGTATAAATGTTTGTCTTTATGGTGCACGGTGGCGGCAACAGTGGTAGCAGTAGTGGTAACAGTTGTGGACGGAGACATGCATATCCTCTTCTAATCGCATTTGTCACGTGAGAAAGCAAAGACCTTTCACAAGATTACCGATGTTGGCCAAAGGTACCAAGCACAAAACACCTGCCATGCCACCGTGATGGTGTGTTGCATGTTGTTGCGTTGTGTACAGTCATAAATTCAGATGGAACAGCACTTGGCCACGCAAATGAGGAGGATGTTGTGCTGCAGGAGGCAGAGAGTTGGTGTCCTTATGAAGGAGCAAGCAGGGCAAAAATGTCCTTCAATATACTGCAAATGTCACTTGTTTGCTTATCATTTTCTTTGGAGTGGAAAACATGTCATTCAGTGGACACCCGGCTCCCATGAAATGATTTCATGGGGCTGGTTTCCGTACAATAGATATAATGTATGTGCCCTTTTCAGCATCAAAAAAACAACACATGGCTCATTGGCTCATGTCTCTGCTGCACTCAGACCATAACACAGTACCCTCCATGTTGTGTGAGAGGCAGCAAACGTTTTCAGATGCAACAAGTGTAGCTCATAGGACATGAACAACACAGAGCAACATGAACAGCAGCATGAGCAAGGGCTTTGCATCATAGATGGGCTGTAGCGGGAACAGAAGGAGGTTGAGGTGGGGAATGCTGCTAATGGTGGTGGGCTGGTGGTGCTGTTCATCTGTTCAGGTCATCATCACCTTCGTCTTCTGTGCTTTCAAAGAGGACGAGGTCGTGGCCAAGGCCCAAAAGACGAAGGAAGAGAAAAAGAATGACTGAAGGCTGGTGGGTTCTGCACTTCATCGAAGAGAACTTGTTGCTGGTTGATAGTTGCCTCAACGAGCAGGATGAAAACACAGTTGTCACCCTTTAGCACAGAAGCTGCAGCATGTCAATACAATACATCAGGTGCAATATGCACAACGGCCAACTGAAACACAGCTAAAATATAGTACACAAGTACAGGAAGGGGG